GGTGCGTTTGATGCAGGCCTCTTCTCACCTCATAATGAATGTTTGAGTTTGTCTTTATTTATTTTATGTAAGACAAGTTGTTGTTAGTACATTTACAACAACCTCAGCTGACCAAAGTGCTTCATAACAATCAGAAAATCACAGGAAGATTAATAAGGAAATGAAATTAAGTTTTATTTTAAAAATAAATAAATTCACAGCAAAAGACAAAGAAAATACAAATAAAAACCAAGACACTTAATTTTGGTTGCAGCATTTTCCCAAAAAAACTCAAATTTAATACATTTGTAAACGATGTAAAAAGGTCTTTGAACCTTTCTGTCTGGTTTTTAACACAAATGGATTTTTGTGTAAGAAAAAGTAAAGTGTTTATTATGAAAGTGAATTTGTTAAAATAAATCCTATTCAGGAACTTGCAGTTCAAACCAGCAGTTTCTTCCTCTAATGTGGCTTACTTGACCTTTGACCCCTCTGGTGGAAACTAAAGAATAATAATTTTTTTTTTTCCTTTTTGTTTAACGATGAAGAAAAATATTTGATTATTCTTGATGTTAGAAGTTTTGAACTCGAGATGTTAAATGTGGTCCAGATTCTGTAATAAGATGTAAAACATCAAATGTTTTTGATTCCTGGAGAACATTTTCAGTTTGTGTCTCATCATATCAAAGTCCCAGAGAGGACGGGTGGACACATTTGGACAGAGATGCAGGATTTCCAAATCTGTTCTTCATAAATAAGCAATAATTCACACATTAAACTTAAAATTAGATTTTATTTTCTTATATTTCGTCTTCTGACCATCTGGATGTGGAAATGACACGATGAAAATATTCATTTGGACAAAGATGATTTATGTTTCTCTCTCTTTTCTTTTCCCAGGTCCATTAACAGAGGAGCCTGAAAGAAGATGAATGAATCATTTTTAAAATAATTCAAAGAAGAAATTCATATTCATCTGGATTCACTTATTGGACTTTCAAAGGAAAACAGTAATGCCTAAAACCAAAGACAAACGTGGAAACAGGTTCTCCTGGTTCTGTTGCTGCAAAACGGCAACAGAACCAGGAGAACCCATGACTGAAACATATTATGAGGCTTATGATGCACATTATAATTTAATTCCTCAAATTCGTTTCGCTACAGAATCATCATCTACATCAGAAATAAACTGGATTTATGATGAAGAGGATTCTGAACCAATATGTAGAGGAACTCGGTGTAAAAACGTAGCCTTTTCTAGAACGGTTCCACCAGGTCTTCTGTTTGAACTCGGATCTTTGGAAAACCATGAGCCCAGAGCTTTGCCTTGTTTAACCATGCTATCTGATACTGACTTAATCAGTGACCGGCAAAAGGATCCATTTCCTGAGAGCAGCAGCAGAACCAGTGAAGTTGTGGAGATCGAACCAGCTGCTGATCAAACTCTCCCTGATGAAACTGAACCTCTGATCAGATCAGAAAACATCAAACCTGCTGAAACCCAGACGGCCGACCTCCATGAACAGCTACAAAACCTCGAGATAAATGAGAGGATAAAATCCTCCTCCTGTTTGTCTCAGAGCTGTCCATCATGCAGTCAGGATCCTCCGTTAGACGTCAGTATCTTACCCAGAGCTGCTAGTTTACCCACCATGAAGCTCCAAAGCAGCTCTGAGGAGTTCACTCCTGGTTTCTGTGGGGATCCAGATGATGAAAGCTGCTGGTTCCAGTGCTCCGGTCCAGGCCGGTACCAGTGCAGAGTGAGCGGCCTGGTGTTTGACATGACGGGAGGAGGAGACGTGTTTTACAGGGTGGTTCCCTGGAACAGGAGCTTACTGAGCCCACATGGCAAGAAGCCTGCAGGACCTCTGTTTGACATCAGCTGCCAGCAGCGGTCTGTGGCTCGGCTTCATCTGCCTCACTGTGAGGTCCGCTCCACAGGACGATGTCACTTCCTGTCAGTCGCTCACCTCCATGATGAAGGCGTGGAGTTTATCAGGCCTGAGAGGATCACAGAGACTCACATCGTCATCAGCATCACAGGGTTTTCTGCTTTTGGGAACGTCAAGGATGAAGATTCTCCTCCTGACCCGGTCCGAGCCTTGGTTCTGCTGTTCTACAAACCTCCAGCTGATCCTGATGTCACTTCCTTCCTCAATTTGTTGCTTCTTCCAGGGAATGTTGTGATCCGGGATTTGAAGCGGACCAGGAAGAAATTATTTGGACTGGAGACGTTCATAGATGCTCCTCCACACTGCAAACTGCGTCCAGAGGAGACCTACTCTCTGTCCACCAGTCCTGCAGGAGAATCGGTTCTGGTTCAGCCCACAGAAGCAGAGTTTGACCCAGAATCCTACAGCAGCTACTTCACCTCCATCCAGGTGATTTTCAGCAGCATCACTGGAAACATTAAGCTGAGCGTGAAGGAGAAGGAAACCTCCTGCTGCGTTTGGGAGAGACGTGTTTGTCTTTTAGCTCACAGAGTGAAACCGGGTCTGCCTTCTGACGAGCAGCTGAAGGAAACCCGGACCAGAATCATCGATGGGATTTCAGAACCGGTTCTGCAGAGTCTGCTGGACAAACTGCTGGAGAAAAAAGTCCTGAGTGATTCTGAGAGGGAGGCGGAGAAGGTCAGAGGAGACAAAGGTCGAGTTTTAGTCGACACGGTGAGGAGGAAAGGAGCTGCTGCGAGTTCTGAGATGATCTGTTTCTCTGTAAACATGTGGGGCTGATCTGTGAGAAAGTGGAACCAAACCAGTAGGTGATAAACTGAAGGGGAAGATATGGAGTCATAAACCCAAAGACATGTCAGAAACTATTTATTATAAACCTATCCTTTAGGAATAAATCTGCTCTGTTACTGAAATGCTAAGAGCAAAAGAGACGCTTGCATCCCGTTTGTTTGTTTAAAAAAAAACAAACAAAAAAAAAACAATTTTTTTTTTGTTTTCTTTTCTTTTAATTTTCCTAGAAACGTAAACAAGCAAAGCTTAGCCTGGCGGCAGGGCTAGTAAAGCATGGCGGGCCGCCAGGCTTATAATACACTGGGGGAAACCCTGAATTATATTATGTGATTGATGCTTCCCTAATAAATTAGCCACAGTTACTGAAATCCCCATTTCCATTTCGTTCCTCTCTCTTATATATTTCCTTCTGTTTCCCCGCAATAAGAACAATCACCTGATGGACGTTTCCCTGTTATTTTAAACCGCTATCTAAACGAGTAATTCTCAACCTCATCCATCCATTTCCTGTACACTCTTGTCCCTTAAACTATTTTTTTCATCACATCCTGGGTCCGCTGCGTCCATCCCCACCATTCTCATCAACACATTTCATGACTCTGTTGGCTGAACTCATAGCATAGCTAAGACCTTAAAGCTGCAGCAGGTAATGTGTATAAAAATGTTTTTATATGTTAAAACTGTCACCATGTCATGACAGTAAGAGACAGATAATCTGTGAAAAGATCAATCTCCCCCATTTCTTACCTAAGCTGTAGGTAAATAGCTTGATAGCTGAAGAACAATACTGCAGCTTTAAGGCTAGTGGATTGTTAATTTTATTTTAAAAAATATTTATATTTTAGGACATTTTTGTTACATACTGCAGCTTTAAAGGCTCTATTTATTTGCCCCATTAGATTCTTGAGGATCACATAAAAACCTATGGCGGACCAGATTTGGTCCCCTGGCCTTGAGTTTGACACTTGTGTTGTTTTGTAATGTAACATGATAATTACACGTCTGTTTGGCTTTAAACTGTAGTTGTCATGTATGAATTTTGAGCATTTATGAGTAAACAATATAACACTGTAACAAAAATGTAAAAACATTTGTAAAATGTTCATTGATACTTTATAAATGATCAATAAATTCTGAATATGGAAGTTTATTAGTTGATGTTTTGGAAACACACACACCTACACATGCACACACGTTTGCGTGGCTATCTTTGTGGGGACTTTCCATTGACTTCCATTCATTTCTACAGCCTAAATCTACCATTTACCCTTTTCCATCACATACCTAACCCTAACCAACCAAAACTCAATTCACACCTTAGCCCTAAATCCCAAAAACAGGGTTTCCTCTTGTGGGGACCAGGCTCCGGTCCCCACAAGGAGCAATTGCTCCCCACAACGTGGTATATGTCAGGAAAATCGTCCCCACAAGGTATTACAAACAAACGTACACACACACACACACACACACACACACACACACACGCACGCGCGCGCGCGCACACACACACACACACACACACACACACACACACACCCCTTTAGGGCTGTCTGAAGTTTTCTTTGAATTCTGCTCTATTTGTATGAAATATCTACAGCACTTAAAAAGTAAGTGAGGATTTAGACCAAGTTTAATAGTGAAAAAGATGACAGAGTGAAATTAACTTGGCTTTATAATAAATCTTTTATAAATCAAATGTTTCGCAAATCACAAACTGCGTTCAAATAGTTGAGCTAGAATAATCTGGTTCAGCTTCGAAAAGTTTGGGTTTTGTAGTTTTTAAAGTAGAGATGATTAACGATGGTCAGGCGTTGCCCTGAGCCGTTTCCCCCATCAGGAGTAAACCTCAGTAGTCACACATTTCACTGTTATAGACGCTTCATTTAAGCTAACTCCACTCCGATACAATAAATGAACCCACGAAAACTGTTTGGGTGACTTGAGGAGGTTTGACTTACATTTCCTCATTTGCTCTGACTCGGCCGGGTCCTCTTCGTTATTCCTGAATGGTTTTTTTTCACAAGTTGCCTTTCAGTTGTTACAGAGAAACTGGTTGTTAACAGGGAACCGAACTAAAGACCCAGTACAAACTTCTGACCTAAAGAATGAATCATTGGATAAATGTAGGTAGTTTTAAAGGGAAATAAAGCAGGGCGTTACATAACGCTTCCTCCTCTGTTTCTCTCGGTTTACTGATAGATTACTAGTTTAATAAAAATGCGCATACTGCCCCCTACTGTACAAGTGTAAAACTTCACTTCATCATCATCCTAAAGTCTCTCCTCAAACTGGTTTCACCAACAAAAAGTCATTTCCAGTTCCTCACACCTTCTGGTTCTCCATTAAAGTTTGTTTCTTTCCCGTCTCTTTCACTTCATTTCTAAAGTTTCTCTTTTCATATTCATGTCTTTTGCAGTTTGTCATTTAATGTTCCAAATTTTTATTAGATTTACCTTTAATGGTCAAGATTGTCTGAACAAAGAATTTTACTTACAATGCTCACAGCTCACAGATGTTAAGTACAAATGTCCAAACTTTAGAGAGAAAATAACATAATGAATAAAAGGAACTGTATGTATATGTATGTGTAACTATTACTTTACATAAAACACTGAAACACTGTGACAGTATATCTTTGAACTACTTAGGCTGTAAGATGTTCATTTACATCAGAGACAACATAAAACTGTCTGTAGCTCTGACCTGAAGGTAAAGGTTTAGACAGCTGGTGTCCAGGATGTGTGGGGTCTGCAGACATGCTCACTGCTTTTTTTCTGACCTTCAATAAATGCTTGTTGCAAACTTAAATTTTCAATGTTGGTTTAAATTTGATATGAAAATAAGAAGCTTTATTTGAAATAGTTCTATAATGAAGCATTTTTATTTACTTTCCATATGCAGAAATGAAAAGAAAGGAAATAAACCATAAAGGACAACAAAAAGAGCAAAAGCAACAACTCATTAACATATCTTCCAATTTTATTTTTTGATATTTTTACAAAGCAGCATCTTCACTTTAATGTTGCAAATATTAATCCTCATGCTATTTCTAATAAAGTAAAAGGTTATTTATAAATTAAAAACATCACACATTTAATTAAAATTAGAGTTGTGAAGGTACATGCAGTTATTTTTGTATGTTTTTAGTTCTATATTTACATTAAATTGTAATATTTTGAGACAAATTACTAAACAAATAAATGTACATAGACATTACCAATTAAAGCAATTAGAGGTCTAAAGATTAATTCAAACATTTGTCCATTTTGGAAGCTTGAACTAGATTCAGGATTCATCCAGAAATCTTATTTAAAGTATTTTATTTTGGTTTTTCCACACAAGAGGCAGATGGGGAGATCTAAATGTAGCAGCTTCAACATTATAAGTGCAAACATACACATTAGATTAACAGCAACAAAAACAGTAATAATAAATAATAATAATGCACTGTGGTGGATTATTTTGAGCTTTTAATTTTTTATGAAAAAGCTTGCTCCGCCCATAAACCTGCCCTCCCCTTTTTCACTTCCTGGTAAGATCCTATCCTAACCTTTGCAGGGTTAGGATTTCTCTTTCTCCTGCTTCTCAGTTTTTAGGATTTCGAACATTTTTCTCTTTATTGTTTGTTTTTTGTTGCTATGGAGCCGAAGACTTGCACGTCCAGGTAACCCTAACCCTAACTCTGCTCTGTAGGGTTTAATGTAATAAATGAACCTTAGAAGATATTATGTTTGGATTGATCTGTTTCTCTTGTCTTATTAAAAGTGTCTGCAGAAACAAACTGAAAGTAGCGACGTGTTGAACAGCTCACAGTGGTTTAGTTAAACTTATTCTGAGGAAGTTCCCAAACAATTACTTTTACATACATAATCGCTCTAGAACGACAACTCAGATGTTCTGTACAACTTTAGCACAGTTCTAACCTGTTCAGTAAGATGTTGATATTATGTCTGGTAATAAGATGTTGCCATGAATAACTAACCGTTGTTACTTGCTATTCACTCGTATTTGCAGAATCTTCCACCAGCTTTTCTCTCCCACCTCACATGAAGCTTCACTATTGTCTGCTAACACCTCCTTTACGTTGTCTATCAGATCTTCCACTTGACCTGTATCTGAATCCTTATTTTCAAACAGAACGCACCTCCCGCCACACATTTCAGCTATTTCTCTCAGATCAGGCTGGCATTGATGTAAAAAGGTTTTCAAGCTCATCGCGGCCCGACTCAGATCGTCTCCATGAGTGAACAGGATGATCGTTTGTTCACTGACTTTTCTCCCAAACATTTTCTTTAACTTTGTCAGGATGTCTCTCTCCCCGTCTGTAAATCTACTAACCTGAAGGACGAGAACAAACACACAAGGATGAGACCCACACAGATTTGTGCAATTTTTCAGAAGTTTGTCTCGGACTGATGATTCCATGTCGTCATCAAACATGTCAGGTGTATCAATCACTCGAACATGTAAGCCATTTATCATAGTTTTTCCCAGCTGGCACATTGTGGTCACCGGTTTTGAGCTGCTCTTTGCCAGAAACAGTTTCTCTCCCAGGATTGAGTTTCCAGTACTGCTTTTCCCAGTCCCCGACATTCCCAGTAGGACAAGATTCACTGGGCCTGGAAATGTAACATCAAAATGAATATTTATTACCATGACATTCATCTACCTTTCAAGTAAAAACATAATTGAGTTGCACATTTTCAAATGCTCTTAAAGAACAAAAAAATCTCTTTTACAATCATTTTTTACATCTAGGTTTTAGATTTAATTTGAACACATTAGAAAAAAACATGCTTGCAATATTATGAGGGGAATTAAAGATACAAACTTACCATTCATTGTTATTTGGCTGTTAAAGTTGAATCAGAAAAAAATGTGGATCTTAAGAAAGACAGAAAAACCAAACAGAAAACTTTTATGCTTCCCATTTTTCATGTTATTTTATATTTGAGCGATATGGTTCATTTTATTTTAGAATCCAATGTCTAATAATGAGAAAGAAAATCTACTTTAATGCTGTGAATGGATAAATAAGGAAATTATTTTACATTTTAAATAAGATTTATATAAATAGTGACATATATTTTATTTTTTTTCATAATAAATATAATTTTTCTAAATACTAAATCTAATGCTACAATAGTGAATAGTCCTAAATTCAAAAGTTCGTTAAAGTTAAATGAAGTTGTCTCTACTTACTGTGAGTCAGTTTCTCAGCAGGTGAGGGCTGGACTCATGTCAGTCTGTTTTATATGAATGAGTGGCTCAACCTCCTGAACGATTGGCCTGTTTTTGCTACCTATAAATAACAAACACAGGATTTGTTTATTCATTTGTCTGATGCCCATATCACAGACTACATGGCTTCATTTAAACCTGGTAAGCAATTAATTATTTTCCTCTGCTTGTGCTCAAACTTCACAAAATGTTTGTGCAGTGAAAAAACAATGCAGAGCTAAAAGAATTAAAATATAAATCAACTGAAAATAAAAGATCTAATCAGAAACTCTAAATTGTTGCAGGCCGATCTCTGAGACTTGTGATGATTGGAAAAACAGGTGTTGGTAAAAGTGCCGTCGGAAACACAATCCTGGGAGAAGAGCGGTTTGAATCTCGTCCAGCTTCAGAGTCGGTGACCACGACCTGCCAGAGAGAAGAAACAACTTGGAGAGACAGATTAATTACTGTGGTGGACACACCTGGCATCCTGGACACTGACAGAACAGAAGAGTTCATTAGGAGGGAGATAGTCAGGTGTGTCCAGGTGTCCACTCCAGGTCCTCACGTGTTCCTGCTGGTGATCCAGGCTGGAAGATTCACCAGGGAAGAGAAAAACTCAGTGGAGGCCCTGCAGGAGCTGTTTGGTCGCAGAGCGGACCAGTTCATGATTGTCCTGTTTACCCGCGGTGGAGACCTGGACTCAAGCATCCAAGACTATGTGAGAGAAGGTGATCCAGAGCTTCAGAGACTCATCCGAAGATGTGGGAGCAGATTCCACGTCTTTGAAAACAGCAGCAGGGACGGAGAGCAGGTGGAAGAGCTGTTCAGGAAGGTCGAAGAGATGGCGGCAGCAAACGGAGGAACCTACTACACCAACGAGATGTACGAAGAGGTGGAAGCAGCCAGAAGAGCCGCACATCCTGTACAAGAAAACCAGTACAGCTTCATTGCTTCACTCGTACGTCGCATCAGGAATTTTCTAAATATTCTTAACAGAGATTAGAAATGTTGTCCTAAAGCTCATATTAGTAAACACAATAAAATTACTAGAGTACTTATCGAAATGATGTAGAAAACTTTACCATAATTACCCAGAAGGAATGATTAAATACTGAAAATGATGTAACTGTATTAATAAAGTCTGATTGTAATATCTGTTACTACTACCTATTATTTTCTGCTTTTGTTTCCCATGATTTTCACATGAATTTCTTCAAATATAAACCACAATAAATGACCAACCAGAGTTTTTCCTGATCCCAACCATGAATGACTGAACTGATGTCAGATGAGACAAAGTTTATTACACAGGAATCAAGGGAAGTAATGCTTGGCTAGTGTTCAGGAAGAAAAAACCTACAGCACTAACATGGCTATAAACATTACTCCACTGTGATGTTTATTTTTATTTGTGCATTTGAGATTATGGACCAGGAAGCTGGTTAATAACATAACGGCACAAAGGTAAGCATGATGTCATCACCTTCCTATGATAATGGTCTCAGTCATTTCTTGATTCTGGGGATGCAGACCAGAACCAGGAGACCTGAGAGGTCTGGAAGGTTGCTATGACAACAGAAAGGCAGATTTTTAATCTGTTCAGTGATTTATAACAGTATTTTAAAGTCTATTCTCTCAGTGGACGAACTGTAGAACTAGGTGACGTTCTCTAACTTCCTGGTTTTAGTCAGAACATCAACAGCAGCTTCTGGATCAGTTGCAGCTGCAGGATGTTTTAGTCAGACCTGAAGACGCTGCTGCAGTAATTAATGTAACTGAAGGGAAACGCATGGATGAGTTTCTCTAGATCTTGCTGAGACATTAGTTCTTTAATTTCTCCTTGGCCTGTAGTTCTCCAGTAGTGATTTGTCCAAATTGTTCTTTTTTTTATCAGTGGTTTGATAACTTCTGTTTTTAAAGCCTGGGGAAAAACACCTGCTGGGAGGATGAGTTAGTATTTATCAGATCAGATGCATCATCAGAGCATTCCTTCATTTCTGCCAATATTATGAGGAAATCAAAACAGCAGGAGGAGCTTAATTGATCAATAATTTATTCCAAGTTTTTATGGTTGAGTTGGTGAATTTTATTGTTTTCTTTACATTTGAAGAGAAACAGCACTACATGTAGTCCATATAAATATTATTTTTTCATGGTTTTGTCTGTGTTTGTGGCCTTAATTTATCAGTTGTCACACAGGGAAGTGTGTGTGAGATGGAGGAGACCTGCAGCAAAGGCCAACAGGCCAGGACTCGAACCTGTGACGAGAACTAAGGCCTGCACCCTGCACCACTGGTGCACCGATCTATAGAGCTAATCAGTTGTGACAGGCAGTGAATCAGCAGCCAGACATCATGTACTGTAATCAGTAAAGACCTTTTAGCACAATCAGAAATCAAGTGATAAGGTCATAAGAACAACAACAGTCGACATCGGCTTAGATTTCTGTGGTATTCACACAACCACATGATGTCAGGGTTTTTGGGGCAAGATGAAAGATTTGTCCATTCTTAGATCATTCAGTTAGAAGCTCTGATTTAAATGGGCATAGTAATTAAGTCAGAAGCATCAAAATGAGTAAAGTTTTGTGCATCAGTTCACTTAGCTGATCCAGTCTTGTCTTGATTCTCAACCAGGCCATGCAGTGCAAATGCTTTCATCTCATCCTGTAAATATAGGCAATGTTATTATCCTCAATATATTCAGGTTGTGCTGAACAAAATCTTTCCTACATCAGAGGGACTGTGATGATTGCAAAGTTCTGCTCCTTCGTTTACTGTTGCTGCTCATCATCCAGTACCGACATGTATTACTTAACATCATTGGTTCTGGACATCAGAACATCTACTAAGATGTTCTGATGTCCAGAACATCTGGATATCAGTTGGCAGGAAATCTCTGCCAACTGAACTAACTAGGCTGATTGAGAGCCGGAGGGTGAATAGAAACCAAACACAGACTCAGACAAAGGCCTTTCAAGTCATGTGCTGACCTGCATTACGTCAAACTATCACAAATATGTAGACAGGATGTCAGATAAGATGCTGTCTGAGGAGGAAACACGGAAAACCAGCCTACACAGAGAGCAGCTTCCTTTATGAAACTTTATTTTTAACTTTTATTTTTAACTTCCATCTCATCACTTTTTAGGTATCTACACATCTGCAGGTTCACTCACAGTAAATCCTCCATTTTTCCTCATCTGCCTGATGACTCTGACCTGGTCTCCTTGTTTTTACCCACTATCAGACTAAAAGGCTTTTTATAATTTAATCGTTTCGATCTGCCCAAAATCTTTGAACTTAATTAGGAGTCAATGTGAACAGGATAGAATATCTTGAATGAGCTCTAGTCACATATTATAACACAGGTACATAAATCCTCAATATGTCCTATAGATCTGTCCTCTACAGCACAATGCTGGGCATTGTCTTACCCAATGCAAACTGGTGTATCTTGAGTATTATATCTAATCCATAGTCTAAAATGTTTGCTTCTGTCCGTGCAGCTTGTGGCAGATGTCAACAGCCTGTTTCATCCATCTCTGTACCTGTTCATGGAGATATTTGCTGCTGAATCTGATGTGGTTGGAAATGGACCTGAAGACGTCTGAGGTCTTTTCAGGAAGCCTCCCATTATCTCCATTTCAGAGAAATCCTTCAGGTTTTATGACTGTTATTTCCAGTAGACCAGTATTATTCATTTCTTACACTGGGGCAGGGATATTATTCTTTACATTATTCATTTTGAGAATATTAGGATGTCACTTCTCAGCTCTTCTGAACGGTTTCTGCACACTTTGCAACTGTTAGATCAGTGGAGCCCAAAGTGGGTCCTGGAGGCATCCTGCATGTTTTATTCTCTCCCTGGTGGTAACAACCTCCTCAGCAGGTCAATGTTCTCCTTAGGTCTCTAATGAGCATCATTTGATGCAGGTGTGTTAAACCAGGGAGAGACTAAAACATGCAGGATGCCGGGCCTCCAGGAACCACTTTGGGCTCCTCAGTGTTAAATGAACTGACTTTCCCTCTATAGCAAATTAGCCTCCATTACTATTATTATTATTGATTAATTTACTTTTTTCTCCTTTTCCTATGCACACATTGCTGATTTTTCTTTCTGGAAGTTCCCACCCATTGTAAAGTTTAGTTTTTTTCTCTGTGTTAGTTTAGGTTTCTGTGTTGTTTTCAGTTGAGTTGTCCTGTCAACCCCTTGATTGTCCCAGCTGTCCCTTGTTTCCCCTGATTCCCTCCCCTGTGTATGTTTACCCACCTGTTCCCTATCAGGTCTAATGTCATTGTCTCTATCTGTGTAACCAGTTACCTCTTGGTTTGGACTTTCACTAGAGATCATCATTATTGCTCTGAATCTTGGTCCTCGGCTTCCATCCTCACCTCCACAAATCATGACATCATCCCAGAGCCAGGCAGACATTTGGGCTCAAATGTTTCATTTATTTAACATTATTAAGTAAATGAAACATTTACCAACATGTTGATGTTTAACGATGACACTTGACAAACTCTAATGTTTACTGTGGTGCTTTAATGAGTTTTGTTTTTATGATGTGAAGCACTTTGAACTGCTTTGTTGCTGACATGCTATACAGATAAACCTGATTGATCGATTGATTGGTATTTTCAGTTTCAGTTCAAAGTATATTACTGAAGAATGGTCACAAGAATATACCACACCAGACAGGAGAAACAAAACTGCTGAAATATTTAGTTTCAGTTAATGTATGGTTTTCATTTGTCCTAAAGCAGAAAACCACTGAACGTCTGTTTCTGTCACTGCAGACATTTTTCCTTTATGTCATATTTGACCAAAAGATCCCACATGGTGCCATTGGGGACATGTGATCGTCTCCCACACATCACGTCTCTGTGGGTGACCATTTCATAGCATGAGATATTTAGATTCATTTTTTTATTTTTAATGAATTATGTAATAAAAACACAAACATTTTTACATAGGAATGGCATTTATTATTCCAGAATTTCAGATTAAACAAATGGGTTGTCAGTATTCACAGGGAAAATATTAACATTATTATTAGCAGTAGAGTGGAAAAAATAATTAAGACCTTTAAAAAGAATAATTTGTTCAGATTCCAGTTGGGCATTAACCAGTTCAGAGCACAGTCATTCAGATAAGACATTTTATTATTAGGAATACAGCAATCATTATTTAGCATGAAGAAATGATGGGATTAACATTTACATGTATTTGGGTTCCAGCACATATTGGGATTAAATGAAACGAAACAGCAAATTGGGAAGCAAAAAGACAACAGGATAAGAAAAAAGGTGGTTTTATAGGATACAAAAGAGAGGAGAAACTTTTAGCAACAGATTTGGACACACTCATTATTCCAAATGAAAAAATATAATCCTGGAAATTCTCATTATGGTGAAGAAAATGAAACAATAGGACATTTTTTAGTTTGTAGAAGAGGAAGGAGATTAATGTTGGAGGAATTTAAGAAGAAACATTTACTTTACACGTGTGCTACAGGAAAATGTAGATAGTAAAAGTATTTACATTTTAATTGGGATTTTTGGAAAACAAAGTTGATGATAATACTTGTAAAAACTGACATTTTGAGCCGCACTCCATATCAGTACAGATGAAGGTAACCTTTAATTTTCTTGCCAACAGCCAATAAAAACCAGGATAAAGAAGAAAAAGAAGAGCATCTCCTGAACTCTTCAGCTGTTTCAGATTTCCCCTGAAGCAGCTTGAAGGTGAAAAACTGCTGCAGCTGGAGGAATTCAGGAAAACCAACATGTAGCTTTGTTTCCTGGCCCCCTGCTCCACAGTAGAGCTGGTAGATGGAGCTGGATGTCGACCTGCAGCAGAGTCACATCCACCTGCTGTTTCCTTCCTGAACGTCTCCAACCAACACAGATCCTCAGCTGAGCTGCTGGAGGCTCTGGAACAACTCAGAGGTATTTTTGAATATGAAATCTAACGGAACCTCAATTACTAGAAATTTACTGGAGCTCTGACTGGGATCTTCTTCCAGTTTGGTTGGAAATAAAAACATTATCTAGAGAAAAGTTCAAGATAACCTTTGGGAGACAGTCATGCATCAAGAAATGAAGCTGGATGTCTGTAGAAATAAGGACAGAAATATTATAGCTGAACTAAATCGATCAGATCTTCCAGTATTTCTGCTGATCAGTTCCTGGTTGACAGAGAACTAAACTCCTTCATGCAACAACATTTTGACTGTCATGAGGTTTGTGGTTGGACCAAAAAGCAGACCAGAGCTGGGACCGCAGATCATTGTTAGGTATTTAATGAAAAATGCTGAAAAAACAAACAAAAAGAACAAAAAAATCAAAGGGGGAAAAACTCAAATAAATAATTCAAAATGGGAGAACACAGAAATACAAAAGCAAAGCGAAGAATCTGGATCAGGGTGCCAGTTTCACATCCTGCTGGTTTCCTCAGAGTCTCTGAATGGACCTTCTCTTTGTGGAGAGAGAAAGACATCATTCTTCTTAGCTTCATAAGAAACAAAAATGGTTTTATTTTCTGACAGATGGACTCAAACTGACGGATAGAGAAGCAGGAAGTTAAAATATTTTGTTTTCTCGGTGGGAATCTTTGACAGATCCTGATTTTTTAGCTGTGAGCTCACAGTCAGTTTTCCTGACTGACTGGAAGGACAGAGTACAGCAGTAATTATAATATAGTGAATAATAATCTAATTCCTCTAACAGCTTCTTTGTTCACTATCTTTGTGTCTGGCAGGACTTTGCATCTTTGTGAACGTAGAGTATTTGACAGCTAAATAAGAAACACCGAACTTCAATAAGAAACTGGGAAATAATCCAGCTGTACGACAGACCGTTTCCATGACAACACCAGTTGGGTTAAGGGAGAGGACAGGTTTCTGCGCCACCGCAGCAGAAACCTCATTAAGACAATCTTCTGAGAAGAATGAAGAAGTGCTGCCTTCCTTCAGCAGCTGGAGAATAAAAACCAGGCGCCAAGAACTAAACATGCAAACGCTGGAGGGTGATGGTGTCCATGACGGGTAGCTTTTCCTCACTTCTTCCTGTTTCTGCTCCCTACATGTTGGTCCTCAGCCAATCTATCACACTGACAACATAAACTAAAATTAAAATGTAACACTAAGAAACAACTATGACGTTTGTGGATGAAGAAGCCACTGGAAGGCCCCTCCCTCCATGTGGGTCCGCCATCATCTGGATCAGGGGCAAACAAGATGCAGCTTCAGCTTCCTGATTCCTGACTTCTAACCTCATAAAAATGAAATGAGTAGCAGGAACTCAGGGAGGTGCTGCACTCATAAAACCCAAAGACTCTTTATTCACATCTGACACTGTTAGAGATTTTTTGGTATTATCATTTTGTAATTACTTTAGTTCACATTCAGTCTATAGATTATTGTGAGTTTCTATTTAAAGTGTTCTCTTCCTTATGTGTGTATGCACTGACCTGGAGGGCACGACTGTATGTTTCATCTTTATGTGAAACAGTTAACTCTGTGTTTCTCAGACCTTAATTCTTATCAACCAGAATACCTCCTAACTGCCTGTGAGCAGTCGTATTTTGTCTTGTAAACAGTTTGACCGAGATTTGAACCGGGCTCAGACCGTAGATCAGATATCACACCTGGTACCGGGTTGCTAGATGTTTAGGTTAGAAGTTTTACGACCTCTGTTGTTTTTCCTGACTGCCCCCTTGACAATAAAACAGGGGCTCACGCGGAAGCAGACCAGAACGCTCTGTGAACGGCTCGGAGGAGCTGCTACCAGAGATTTCTCCTTTTGCAAAAGCTTTGTCATAAAATTCATATACGTTGTTTGTGGTTCTTTTATATAGGTTCGAGAAAAATACCCATCAGACACTTCTTTGGCATCACACTGAAGAAACTAAACCACAAGAATGGTTTTCATGGTTCTTTAAAACTCCTGCCAAAACTTACAGCCAGATCTCGCCTGTCCTGTGTGTGATGAGGCCTTCTCAGCTGTCTGTCTCATGAACATTACATTTTCTCAAATTACATCATCAAAATCATTAAGCAAATACACACGATATATATTTTTAAAATTGTACACATTTGTGCATAATATTTTGTCGTTAAAGGGTTATATAAATGGCATTATTTATCTATTGTGGCTTATTTCCACTTTGTGAAAATGTTGTTTATCTTCCCTCATCGTTTTTGAAGTTGAGCTCCAGGTCTGTGAGTCTGGAAGGACTCCTGTCCATCACCCTAATCTTTTGCTCCCTCCACATGTTTTATTTTATTTATTTTTTATTTTTTTTATTTATTTATTTCGAACAGACTGAAAAGACAATCAAGAAAAAAATAGAATAAAACAAACGTAAGAAATAAAAATGTAAAACAAATTATTCTGCCCATGTGACATGCAAATTTTATATTTTCTGTTCTAAAAGGAGCAGGTAGAAGATATAATATCTTATAATGTCCTGCCCCTTTCCTGCTTGACAATTTATCAATTAACTTTCAGAACATCGAAAAGAGACAACTTGTTTCCATTTTACATGATGTTTAACTATGTACAATTATTTTAAATACTATTTATATCATCAATTACATTAAAGACTATTAAACAATCATCTTATATATCCTATTTTGAAATAAGCTCTGTTTTAACGAGTTTTTTAAATTGGTTTACATTTGTACTTTTTTTTTAACTCATCATTCAATTCATTCCAGACATTTACTCCACACACAGATAAACAAAAACTATTCCTAGTTGTTCTAATATATTGTTTTTTAAAATATCCTTCACCTCTTAAATTATAACCCTCCTCTCTGTCACCAAACATTTCCTGTATACTGTGTGGAAGTTTTTACTTCTGACCTTAAACATGAATTGTAAAGTTTTAAATGTTACAAGGTCCCAGAATTTCAGTAGATTTGATTTGATAAATAGCCGGTTTGTGTTCCCAAAATCCCACTTTATGAAGTATTCGGATTAATTGTTTTTGTAAGACATATAATGGCTGTAAATTTGTTTTGTATGCATTCCCCCAATTTCCACACAATATGTTAAATGTGGTGTAATGAGTGTATTATATAGAATAAACAGAGATGTATAGTCCAGGACAAAAGTAATTCCTCTTAGAACAGCAACACTTTTGGCTATTTTAGATTTTACTAGGCTGATCTGTGGTTTCCAGCTAAATTTATCGTCTAATATGACACCTAAGAATTTTATTTTGTGTACTTGTTCTAAATCAACACTGTCAATTGATATTTTAATTGGATTATTTTCCTGTTTTTTATTATTTCCAAATATCATAAATTTTGTTTTATCTTCCAGCTTCAGGTCAGAGCTATGGATGTGTTGCTCCAAAATGTTTCTTCCAGAAAGCAGCAACATGTTGGTAAAATTAAAACTTACTCGTAAACCGCTCGGAGTATCAATTTTTAAAAACACATTTATCAACAGGGGGCGCTGTGGAGAGGTAGGGGCAAAGCAGGACTCTCATGTGGAGGCCTCAGTCCTCGTGGCGGTGGTCACTGGTTCGATTCCCGGCCTAGTGACATTTTCTACATGTCTTCCTCCTCTCCCCTCGCATTGCCCCGTTTCCTGTCAAACTACTTTCAAATAAAGGCCACTAGAGCCAACAAACCTAAAAAAAAAAACATTTATCAACTAAACCACAATAAATTAGATTTTATTTCGGTCTTTATAGTAGATTTATTGACATTAATATTGTAGGATATATTTTTTTGCAAACATTTTTTTCTGCAAACACCAAATTGTGCAACAATCAACATAATCCTGGACGAGCCCCCACTTGCATTCAACTCATTCAAAAAGCTGCAGCATGAATAAACAGTGAGGTTCTTTAAACTGACACATTATAACTCTAACACCAAAGAAACATCCCTCATGCAGGTTTGCATATATTTTACTATGGAGTTTTCTCTTTATCTGTGTCCAAATATAGAGTTTTAATTCTTATAAAACCAAATAAATCATACAGTTCCCAGAAGCATCTTATTCACACAATCAGTCAGCAGCTTAGCAAGTTAATACGAAATTGTGTTATCTTGACTCATGTTAAAATGTGACTAAAATGCTTGTTATTTTTTGTTTCAGTCTGTTTTTGTCGGTAGCCAAGCCACACTGTTTGAAAACTAAACAAGTTGTACGAGTGACTGTTGGCACATCAGGTTTATCAGGTTACATCCTGTAACCAAAATATGTAAAGTTTAATTCAGCTTTTTATCTCGTTTTAATGGCTTCTTGGAAGTTCACAATTATTATTCTCAGGTCTTTGTGAATTTATTTAGATTTTTCCTTGACGTTACATGGAAATTGTTTTTAAAGACCTGCTTTAAAATTACAAAAATAAACATGTTCATCGTCATGGCGACCGAACATCCACAGAGATTAAAGTGTACAGTACATCCTTCATAATCTCTTTGACAGTAAAGTTGAGGGAATTTAGTCCATCAGTGTCGATATTCTCTGCTGTTTTTTGTGTTTTCACAGCGTTTTCTGGATTCACCTCATTGTGCAAGTCTCTTCCATGTTTGATCATTTTGTATTTTGCAATCTGAGCGTCCGGCCGAGTTATGGACATCCCTCTGTGGATGATCCTGTTGTACAGGTCGTCGTCCTCGCCACCCCAGCCCCAGAACGTGTTTGAGAAACCGTTGACCTTCAGGAACTGCTGCTGTGTCAGCAGGGAGACGCCACCAAAGGCAGTTTTTGAGGATAAGATGTAGTTAAATTTATCTATAGCCACTGATAAATGTCTGGGATGGTCAGAACATCTGTAGAGGTTCCTGTCGTCTATTGGCACCAGGTCTACATCCGAAAAGGCAAAACAGTCGTAATCGTACTCCTTCAGTGATTCATTAAATCCGATGTTCATCAGCTTGGCCCGGTTGAACGCTCCGTCTCCGT